CCATACAATTTTCTCTTTGATTCTTCTGTAGTCAATGTAGTCTCGTGAAGAATGTGTTGCGAGAGATACACAATAAATTACATGAAATTCTATCTTATACTTTTACGTGTGAAACAATGAAGCAAACAATCATATTTATGTCGAGTTCAGCCCTGCAAAGTCTTGACGTCTAACATCATCGCCACAACAGATCGGCTGACGCCCAGAGCACAATCTGAGTCGTTACTGCGGCATGCACTTACACCCTACAAGCCCTCATTCTATACTCGTGAATACGTTCTACAGTCATAGAACGGTAAAAAGATTCGTTGGCCAACGTTTATTTCATTTAGGATCCTCTCTACTGCAAATGGTACATGAAGGTAAACAGAAATCTCAAAAAGGGTCCTAGCACTACGCCTTGTGCAAGGAAACGAATGTAAGTCTCAATCGGTATGGGCTAGCCACCCGAATCACATTTTTAATCCACATTTAAGCGTGCACATGTCCACCGTGAGCGTGGCGTCTGGCGCGGCCCTCCCTAACGGTACGGGGCTTCAACTTGATGGCAGAAATGGCCAAGTTGGAGCTCTGTCCAGCAGTGCACTGGGTACCGGCAGCCACATTCTGAGCAGGGGTCCACTGGCCGTTCGCGCAGCGCTGGAAAGAGGAGCCATTGATGCAGTTCCACTCGCCCTCCACACTGCAAGATCCAGAGAGCGCGCCAGAGCTTGCGCTGGAGCTTGCGCTGGAGCTAGAGCTGGGTTGAGGGCTGGAGACAGAGTTGGAGCCAGAACCGGAGTCAGAACCAGAGCTAGAGCCGCTGCTGCCGGAGCTGGGTGCAGGAGTGTTCGCCACCGCAGGAGCAGTGTAGGTGTTTGCGGCCGGGGCAGAAGTAACCACAGCAGCGGCCGAAGAACTGGCAGAGCCGGAGCCGGAGCCAGAGCTGGAGCCAGAACCAGAGTAGGAGCCAGTGCTGCTGTCACCAGCGGCAGCAAAAGTGGGAGTACCGGTACAGGCGGCGGCGCCAGCGGAAGCCAGGTTGCTAGGCTCGCCATTATATTGGATGTCGTCACCAGGCTGAGGGAATCGGATGTCGACACCTTCGGAGGTGGTGCAGCCGTTGACGTTGGCGACAAACATGGGAGGGAAGGTGGAAGAGCGCTTCTCGACATCGCGCTTTTCCTCAACATCGGACCTCTTAGAAGAAGCGCTCTGGACCTCGAGGGGAGCACAGTTCATGTACATCTCACGGTTTCCAATGCGGTTGAACCAAGTCCAGGCGAGCGTGTACTTGCCGGGGCTAATGCCGTCCGGAATGGTGTAGTTGAATTTGGTCGGATCAGCCATGGAAGCACCACCAGAAAGGTTACCGTCCACGTTGGCGGGGCAGCCGCCTTCGATAGACTTGATGACCATCCATTCGGAGTCCTTGGTAGGCTGCAGATCGGTGGTCAGACTGACCTGGCAGGAGCCACCACCATGGGTGGCGGAACCCTCAAAGGTCAAAGGCATGCTCTCGCCGATCTGGGCGGTATTCCACTCGGTGACCTCGTAGGTGTTCGAGCGCAGCTTGCAAGGAAAGTCGCTGCCATCGGCTGCAAGAGGCGAGTTGTTAAGGGTGTCCTTGCCATAGGGAATGGGCTCAGTCATGATCATGTGTGCTTCAACAGCCGAAATGCCCAGGAGAGCAGCGGCCGCAAGAATGGACTTGGAAAACATGGTGAAGGAGCGTCGGTTTTGTTTTGCACTATTCGACAGCTAAAGGAGTGTTTGAAGTTCTGACCGTACCGGACGAGACAGAACAGGTGGTTGCGTTGAGCAAAAGTCTAGTGCAGATGGATTAGCCAAGAAGGAGAGAAAGGAAGGATTTATATCGAGATAGTGCATGATACGTTGGTGGGAAGTATAGGAGCAACAGACGGTGACAACCGTATAGTTGAAGCAGTATAGTGGTCGAGGATGTGTAGAGGGGCAACAAGGTTATGGTAGACAATGAAATGGTACACGGGAAGATACCAGGATAAGGCGAGGTGACAATACCTTTGTAGAACCGAATGGAAGGTGAGCTTGTCCCAGCGTTGACTTTATCTGGTCGAAACAGGCCTTTGTCACGCGTCTGATACTACTGGACAAGGATAGCTTCAGTTCGTTGGAAGTAGAAGGGAAGGTCGGAGTCTGCCGCAGGCACACAACGAAGATTCAAATGAAATCAGAAAGGAGTGTCGAAAGAAAGCAGGACTAGCCTGGTGATAGTAGGACTGTCGAACAGTGTAGAACGAAGAAAGGACTGAACGCTCCAGCGTGGTTGAAGAAGAGAAAGAAGAAAAGGGAGCAGCACTGGCAGCCCTGGGGGGTGTTATATACTTAAGATTTGGACTGTTTGAGGCGCCATGACGGTGAATCAGGTATCCAGGAGACTGGACGGATCGAGACAGGCTGTTAGTAGGCGCGCACCGAAAGTCAAGATGCGTGTGAGTGGGGAGGGGGAGAAGATTGACAGACAGTGAATTGGGTTGCATGTCGAGTCGTGGGACACATAGTTTTGGTGGAGGGTAGATGGACCCTGAGTGGTCCCTGACGAGAAGGGACTCCATAGCCCAAAGATGAAACAAGCCCGCAGCGGAACCTGGGACTTCGGCTAACGACGCATTTCTCTGTTTACTGTGTAGAATCTCAGTAAATGTTTCCCCCTGCCAGCCCATCCGTCGCACCATCAGCCCGGCCCGCCGTTTCATTGGCTGGGCCCAAGGCGGTTGGCGCCGGCATTTGCCAATCAACGCCTGCAGGTCGCGGATTCGCTCTGATTGATCGGCTTCCAACTAAAAACTAAAAGCAAAAAGTATCATCCGCCAGCCTAGTAAGTAGTTAGACAACGTTGTCCGACCGGTCATCTCGCCCTTTCCACACCTTCCGATCATTCTTTCTGCTCGGCGAATGAGCCTCCAAAGCTCGCCATTCGGCTTGATCAAGTGTGACCCGCCCACTGGCCGAAGGTCCCCTGCCCTTACATTGCAGCCTTTGCGGAAGATGAAGCCGACGTGGGGCGATGGACACAGCCTCGCAGCCACTGAGCAAAGATGTGCATTTCTATGACTCTTTCCAAAAGGCAGCAGCGAATTGTGAGTCCAGGCGAAACAAATTTTCCTTTTTTTTCGCCTCTACCATGATTCCAACATTCCACGCATACGAAATACTGTGAAGAAGTTTGCTCTCCTGTCATCATTCCTGTCCCCATTGACCGGGAGGCTTTCATTGTCAGGCTCAACAGGACCCGATTGTAAGAGATGGCATGGGCGAGACCATCCATGAGATATCTCATTCGACCACAGAAAAACCAAACTAAGAATACATCTCCATCTCCAAGATGATCCTTCAGCCCAATCCCAAGCTCCCCTGGCAATTCCTTCCACCCAGCCATGAGCGTGTGTGCCGACTTGGCGCTTCGGTGGCGAACCAAATGCCCGTCCATGTCTTACCGGTGAAAATCTTATTGCATCCCGCTGCCCCGTATAGAGCAAAGCATACTACACCACACAATCCATACCCTTTTTTTTTTCCCGGGCCTGAAAAAAAGGAAGCAAAAACCTCCGTATGCAAGTGGCAGGGAATGTTGGCAATCCTCAGCCGCCGACTTTTGACCCAACCAGGACACAAAGTAAACATCCAACCTCCTGCGCCATGGTTCAGATCATGATCCCCGCATGGACGGACCCTGTCGGCGCAAAAGTTTGGTTGGATCGGTGGGGTTCTTTTTCCTCCCACCGTTTTCTTTCTCTGGCTTCCTTTCATCATGTCGGAGAACGGCTGGCTCCGTGATCTAATTGCTACACGTTGATACCATTTACTGGATTCTTCGTTGCTGGGATCATGGATCAAAGAAAGCGTAGACGCGCTGCGAGTCAACAATTTCTTTGTGCAATAGCCGCCCACTGTGTGCGCCATGTGGATTCGATGCATCATTGGTTACACATGACGACTACTAATAGTCAATAGTATGCGCGATATATTTAGGTAAGAGTTGATCCTAAGTGACTGCATAGATCAGGTCAGGCACACCAATCCATAAACCAATAAACGAAACAGATTAGTACGCAGTAGTAAATAGCCAAGCTGCTGTCCTATGACGTCGTCTATCGCCTCCAGTACTTTTATTCCCAACTCACTCAACTTCTATCTATACCAGATCAAAAAGAGACCTATCTACTCAACACACAACGACAGCTCCAGCTATACCATTACCCAAAATTCCAAGCATGTGATCCCGATAGCTACTAACTAATCACCTTCCAAACCCAGCAATAGTCAAACCCCACACAAACTATTAATCACATCACCAAAAAAAAAAACTTGGCAAATTAAACCCATCACCCCATCATCATCAAAACACGAACTGGACCCATCAAAAAGGGAAAGAAAAATTCGACAAAGTACTACTCTACTTCGTAGACCCTAGATAGTAAGTACTACTAACTCCGGAAGCCCCGAAAGGATTTCGGCAGTTTCGAGAATCATCGAGATTGAAATTGCGGGGGGTGGGTGGTCAGGAAATCAATCTGAAACAGGGGACGCCGGCGGGAGATCGCGACTGTCAGCTAAGCGAAGGGGTTGATGAGAAGATTTTAGATACTAGTTTTTAATATATGATGAAGAATTATTTTTATTGTCCGAGGGAGTCTGAAAATTGAGTCAGGGAGTTAAATTATGGATGGATTGTTAATATTGTTGCCTGCTTTAGTTTGATATTTGTTGGTTTTGTTGATGTTGGGTTGATTGCGGTGGATGATGGATGGGATGATTATTATTGTGATGATAGTAATGAATACTACTCTACTATAATTGACTTTGGAATGGTGGGACACTATGTGTAACTACATAGTCTGAGTATTTTATCATGCAGTAAAATGAAATTAGTATTGTCTGATTGTGAGGAACATATAACATAATATAGAAGAATGTTGGCGATTACTACAGTCCTAAGCCTTTGCAGAACGTTGACTGGGGCTGGAATGGGTTGTGTGGTTCGGGCCATCTGACAGTGGATACAACGGGATCATCGGTAATGAATGTGGACTGCTGGTGTTCTGGATCGAACTCCTGGCTTGGTCGTTGGACAATTGTCTAGACCTTCTACTTTGTGCAGAGTTGTGTTGGGGATGCTGGCTAATGTTTGCCTTGGACCCTCACCTAGGCAAGCCCATCGCCACACTGCAGGGCCAGCATCATATTGAGGAATTACATTGCCGCATCTTGGCGTCTAGGCAGTTTGCTGATAATGGAGATCTGTTTAATTAGAGGAATGCTTGCAGACTGCGAGAGATATGGCATGGTTTTCCGAGATAAGTCCGTGTCCTTCCGACCTCTTTCATGCTCTACAATGGATCTCCCATCTAAGCCTGGAAGGTACAATAGTTACAAATGCTAGTGCCTTTTTTTTTGCTGTTGGGGCCCAAATCATTCTCTGCATCTCCACTGGTCGGGATAGAGGGATCTGTGATACTAGTTCAGCCATTATCTACAACCTCACTCAAGGCAAGACAGATATGTTAGAAACTTACTGGGGCTTTCGGTGGTGCCGTTATGAATTGCGGTCGTATCCACGCCCTAAAAGTTTTCGCATCATTAGCATCTTGATGGGTCTAATTAGTGGTCCACTCCACTCACCAAGGTAATGTATCCCAGGACCCCGTTCGTATAATCCTGACCATCCAAAGGCTCCGTGTCCATGATAGTCATGGCCCCCGCTATTAATAAGGCCACGGAATTAGCAGGTCAACAGAAATCAAATTGAAACAGGTATGCTTACTCAACGATTCATCATACCAGACACCGTCCTCCGATACTGGTTTCCGTGGAATCTGGGTGTGATAAGAATACGGCGGCACTGCCATGACTTGGGTAGCTAGATCTTCGTTGAAAAACAACTGCGCTGTGTTTACAGTTCGGCCTCCTCTGATGGTGCCATTACTGGTGATAGTCCAATCAGTATGGACTTGCAAATGGACATGAATAGCGCGGTTTGTCTAGAATGTTGTTAGCCTTGCGTTCCGCCCAGTCGAATCATGGGCGTGCGCGCGCATCCTCACATAAAATCCAGGGAATATCGAAGTGAAGCTGGTTACACCGTGATCATCGGTCGGCCACATGCCTCGGAGCCAGGTTGTATTGTCCGTTGCTAGGAACTTTGTTTTCCGTCAGATGATAAGAACCATGGGTTTTCCTCTATGGAAGACTCCGAAGGGGCTGGGAAGCGCGGAAAGAGGTATTACCGAGACATCACTTAAACCATCATCTGGGTCGCCGGGTAGCTCACCGGTGACTTCAAAGTACTGGTCCTGGAACGGGATATCTGGATCCAAGCCAGTGAAAGAACTATATGATCCACTAGCATTGCAATGCTGTTCCTGGAGTTAGAAAATATACACTCTTCCACATGTTTCCGTGCCCATTACCGAATTGTTGAGCGATGGCCAGTTGGTGGGGGGAGGAGGGGGAGGAGGAGGAGGAGGAGGAGGAGGAG